TTTAGGAATTTGATAAATAAAAATTTTATCATCATCGTTATTTGCTGCGTTCTGTACTTATACTCTATATTCACTCCTGAAACGAGTATAAAGCATTTAATAGCTAAACTGCATTACATACAACTACAGCACAACAATATAGGTGGTGGGCATTTGATTTTTTCATGTCTGATATAGAGCGCATTTACAAGAATAGTATATACAAGATATTACAATTAAAGTTTAAGCTGAAATAAATTGAACCGGAGTACCATATTAGGTCTGCACGCATCCTTTTCCAACTATTAGCTAGTCAGCAACAARGTTRAATCATGGTCAATTAAAACGTCTATAAATCTGTCTATTGTAAACCAGAATRAAAACGGCCTTGGACTATAAAATTTAGGTTTAGTAGCACAAGTATGCTAGAGAAATATGCCTTCGATTGATTATTGCTTCATACTACTGTCCTTTTATACCCCTGCATACATAACCACCCTGGACAACCATATAACTAACAAAGCCCGCTTCCACTATTATTAACACCCACTGGTATACATTCCGTAACGCTACTAAAATACATTTCCCGACAGCGGTCTACAATTTTCTATCAACACTGCGCGGTCGGTTATACATACATCAGTACTTTCGGAAAACAATTCGTCCGCCATCTTGAAAAGTGGGACCGTCCCACTTTTCGAATCACTAAATTATAACTCCTAGAGGATTTAAAAACTTCTCAGCTAATGTCAAGTTATTATTATACGATATAATGATAGATACGTTGACTTAGAAACTACTACTGTTCTAAGGCACAAGTACAAATTGATTCCGGTCTCACTTTTCAAGATGGCGGACACATTGTTCTCCGAAAATACTGATGCATGTATAAGACCGAATTAATAATAATCATTGCGATAAATGTTGATTGCGATTGTTTAAATTTTTTAGACAAGATGGAGAAAATTATTTTCCCTTTGGCTATTGTACTTGGTGTTTTCCAATTCTTTACATTCGTGGCTATAATGGTATTATGGAAATCATTCCTTGACCTTAAAAAGAACATACTAAAATACAAAGATAGCCTTCCYATGGTAAACATCAGTCCACCGTCGACGCAAAATATTTSTCCTCCTGCTTATCCAGYKGAGACACCYAGCATTGCCATAGGCAACACTCAGAAACCGGAATTCAATGAAGTCATCGAAATGATGCCAACTCCCGATCCTGAGCGCCGTCGAATCCATTCCTCCACCGTTGCAATAGAAAAGACACCCAAAAAACAATTCGAACAAAAGTCACAAACCTTGCCCTTGACGTCATTTAGTGCGTTATCACGYGATTCGGGCATAGGCTCAAGCTCGGATAGGAACCAGAGTACTTCATCCGAATCCATGAAGGAARTTGCTAGAAGATCACGTGAATTAAGCGTRGTCTCCCAAGAAAGGGTCTCTGTACATGARGAATCGAGAACCGGAAGTAATTCATCGAGCTCGTCACGTGGTTCAAAGACTGTGRCACCACGTMACTATGGGTTACAAGCCAGTACATTGCCAGAGGGAATAGACGACGATGATGAATCKTCTCATCTTAGTCGATTGCACACCATGGCMATAGAGATGATTGATGTCCAACCCAAATCGAACGAAARGCGCTACAAAAGAGCAAGTCAAATCCTAAACGAGAGACTTTCCATGACCGAAGAAAAATTYGAGGATAACGCATCATTCGTTAATCGTGGTTATTCCRATGCAAGYCACAGTTCGCAAAGAAGTGTACCGCTGGCAAGTGAGGAGGGCAGTCTCGCTTCTGATCTACAAAATGTGTTTGATGATAATAACAATGGTGATGAGGAAGAAAAGTACGAAAATCAAGAARTCGTGGAAAAACATCGTTTAAGTATGGAATTTGAGAGCACTAAAATATAAAGATATATTATAAAGACCCAAGAATATCAAAGTAAACCAACCCAGATGAACTCTTTTAGTCAAAACTATAATATTGAATGAAAAAAGTATTTTAATCTCGAAAATCCTCCAACTAGAAAAAGAAACTGAAAGAAACAATGCATTTTGCAGTTCTGAAGGCATGACTTAGTAATTAAAATGTCGTAGACTTGCGTGCAATATCGCATTTGGGCGCTCCAAAACTAATGAGGCCGGGGCAATCTACCATGATACTGGGTGAGAAATGCCATTAGACGAAATCTCAACAAGCCGATGGAGAAAGTTTACTCTATTTTGATTTTTTTATGACAACGTCTTGAAGTTAAGTTGAAGAAGAATGTCCTAGAAAGCAAATGGGTCATAGAGACCGTTAGGCATCATTGGATAGCTATCCTTTCGATTTACATGAGCAAATCAAATCAAATGCTTCCCCTATGATATTGTTTAATAATGGAATATTCTTTATACAGAAAAAAACTGAACTCTTGATATAAGTAAAGTCAAAAGAAGCAAGGTGCTATTGCGTGACACGTCGCTTGCGTGACATTTCCTAGCCGTGACACATCGCTAATCATCCTTATCAAAATATTCAACGGATAGCGTGATTCTTCTATAAGTGTAGCAGCCCATATATGGTGTTGATTGKGTTGCGCCCGCGACGTCTTGTGGGTTTGAYTGGTACCAGGTCTCGATCTCGCCAGAACTGCGGTTGACTGCGCAGCTTGGTAAAGACTGCTGGCTTGTCATCACCGGGGACGCTTGTGGAATAGGCCTGTAATATAAATACAGTAAATCGAAAATCGCTCAACTGGACTTTTTCACATAAATGCTAAATAGTAATGGGCAATTGCTAGTTGTGATTATATTAATATATATTTGCTAAATAATATGGAACTAAAAGAAGAATAAAACTAAAAACTAAATTTTTGTATTGTGGTCTTTTTAGTGGATTTATCAATATTGTAAATTAACATCATTTTTATCTTTATTATCTTTTGAGTGTATATATAGGATTTTTGAGAAATAAAGATTATTATTATTTATTTTTAGTGGATTTGTAAAGATTACATGCGGTGTAAATTTTGAAAATACATTTGGTGGACTGCTGCTAGTTGCGGATCCAGGAAGGATCGACCTTTAAAACGATGGATGGAAACGGATTGCGAATGGATATTGCGAAGTCACCTCATTTTCCATATATGAAAAATCTACAACACGACCGCATGGAATGCTGGTGGACCATGTCCCTTTAAATGGCCGGAAAGATTCATGAATGGGTAAAAGTGATTCCACTATTTACATGAAATTTGATTACCTTGCATAAGGTCCATTGTTTTCACAACTGTCACACTCGAGCTCTTGCTGCAGGAATAAATATTAAACAATCATTACAAATATTCCTTTACTTCGCTAGACCTTTTACTCGAATGACCTTTTCTAAAAATACAGCCGCCATTTTGAATTGGGAAGAAATTATGGGATGGCCAAATGTCAAATAAAAATTGCATTTTTTTTAAATTAGCGATTATATAATACTCACGTTGTCATTAAATCCTTCGCCGAAAAGATCGGGAAACTCAGGATCATCTGGCAAAGATGAACTGAAAAAGAGTTCAAATTTATTGTTTACTAAAATAGCTTTTCTAAAATATACAGATAATATTCAGTGTTGAGAAAATTCACAAAATTTTGGTAAAAACAAAATCTCATAAGGAGATTGAAAAGTATGAGCACTATTCTATGCTCGTATTAAACATTCAGAGATAATTAGCATTTTTCGATACCATATTTGGAATTATTCAGAAACATTCAGCGGAACTAATAAGAATATCTTAGATCTATATTTGGTAAAAAAATGGCTCAAAATAGTATAAATTAATGAACAATATAAATTTAAAATGGTCAGGCTAATCTTTAATTTTTAAACGTATGATATGAGTATTTTTATTTTGAAGAATTTAGAGAAAGAGTAAAGACGCATGATTTTCTCGAGAAAATCTGTTTAGCGATTCACATGAAGTACTTACAATCTTGACTTCATATTTGCAAAGAATTCCAAGGCATATGCAATTTTTCGCAGAATAAGATAATTTACATATCCACAGACCTACAGAGAGATAAAAACCATATATAAATCCATTAATTTGGTACGTTTGGGCTCACTTTTTTAGCACATATTCTGCCATTTGCCTTGGAGGAAGGGTTATTAATATACATACCTTTAAATTGTATACTGTGTTATCTTCTACCGAGGGTCTCACTGGTTGACTGGGGCTGACTTCYGTTGACGGAAATGACGTCACGGGTGTGGAACTTGAAACACCATCTACGAAATATAAACTCCTTAGAAAGCTCGAAATGATGGTAGAAATGGTCGCAAAGCACTACTGGGARCTTCCATGATCTCAGAACCSTACAACAATRCTGTTGTAGTGTCTCTAGACTTCAAGTGCGACCGCAATGCATTTCTRGGWAATAGTAACATACCTGCAGCTATTTTCCKCTTTTTCCTGCTTGGTTTACTGACTGCCTCGTTATCTTGTTTGGAGTCACGTCCTGGGCATGCGCACACTCTAACCTCAATTGCGCATCTTCCAAGTAGTTCCTGAGACTCTCTACATTAAATAGAAATTTACAATTCTATTATAGTTATTATCAAAGTTTTGCACGAATTGATGCATCATTTGTACATGTTATATAGACTCATTGCTGTTCATATGGGAATGCAGCTCCAGGTGAAGCTGTTTAAACGTTCACATTAAGGAATCTATTCACTTAAAAATGGTGTTTATAACGTTTTATGTGCATTTAGGACCAAATAAATCCAAATTAAACACAATTTCAAAAGCTCTAGCCAGCTCAGACACAACAGTTTGCACTAATTACTATAGAAATATGGGTTGCTTCTGTAGGTACCGGAGTACAGATGACGTAATTCAATAGAAACAGAAGCTGAAACAAAGAAACAGATTCTAAACAATACCCCGAAATACAATGAAACCTAACCAGAATACAATAGATTACTGTACACACAGAAAGACCCGAAATATGTTGACTTTATAGCGTCATACCCAGTCTCCAGTGTAAACACGACCAATATGGCACGTCGGTTCAGTCCCCCACATGAATTGTTGCAAATGAATGAGAATAGCTCGTGTACTGTGACTTCTTCGTGAATCGAGGCTCCAACTGATAAAAAAAAATAAGAAAATTGTTAGAACATTTTAATTTTATAAAGCGAATAAAAAAATCCAACCATGGTGCAATGCGCTCGTGGCTTGATATGTTCATATATGGAAACTGTATTGCACGAATTATATGAGATATGAGAGGGAGACCTTTAAGGCATTAAAAGTGCACATGACACCATTAGAATTTCATTCTCATCTAAAAAGAGAAAATGCTGCTAAGTACAAGAAAGAATTTAATTTTAAATTGTATTTTCTAAGTTATTGGCAGTTGAAACTTAGAAAATTCAAATGCAGCAAAATATAATTCTTACTTCACAGAAGTGCATGGCAACGTGTTATCTTTAGTATAAAAGTGATTTTCTAAAAGGTGTCATGTGCACTTTAAAACTGCGAGCTGCAAGCCAGCATATCACATGTGTCAAATTGCATTATGGCGTATGTGACACCCGGAGATTTGGACTTTGAAACTAAGCTGCCCTAATGGTATTGAATTAAGTAAGCGCTTATTACCATTTGTCTTAAAAGGTATTTTGACCGACATGCGTCCTGAGTGACTGCATTGTTGGTATTCTGCCTGTGGGTTATCTGAGCGAATGAAGTGTCCAGATGCAGGATTTTCTAGAAAAGAAAAAGTCTTATATAAGTCTTAGAAAGTCATGGTAATCATTAATCAAACAATCAGTCAGTCATTCATTGCTCCTAGTCTGACCTNNNCACAGTTCGCAAAGAAGTGTACCGCTGGCAAGTGAGGAGGGCAGTCTCGCTTCTGATCTACAAAATGTGTTTGATGATAATAACAATGGTGATGAGGAAGAAAAGTACGAAAATCAAGAAGTCGTGGAAAAACATCGTTTAAGTATGGAATTTGAGAGCACTAAAATATAAAGATATATTATAAAGACCCAAGAATATCAAAGTAAACCAACCCAGATGAACTCTTTTAGTCAAAACTATAATATTGAATGAAAAAAGTATTTTAATCTCGAAAATCCTCCAACTAGAAAAAGAAACTGAAAGAAACAATGCATTTTGCAGTTCTGAAGGCATGACTTAGTAATTAAAATGTCGTAGACTTGCGTGCAATATCGCATTTGGGCGCTCCAAAACTAATGAGGCCGGGGCAATCTACCATGATACTGGGTGAGAAATGCCATTAGACGAAATCTCAACAAGCCGATGGAGAAAGTTTACTCTATTTTGATTTTTTTATGACAACGTCTTGAAGTTAAGTTGAAGAAGAATGTCCTAGAAAGCAAATGGGTCATAGAGACCGTTAGGCATCATTGGATAGCTATCCTTTCGATTTACATGAGCAAATCAAATCAAATGCTTCCCCTATGATATTGTTTAATAATGGAATATTCTTTATACAGAAAAAAACTGAACTCTTGATATAAGTAAAGTCAAAAGAAGCAAGGTGCTATTGCGTGACACGTCGCTTGCGTGACATTTCCTAGCCGTGACACATCGCTAATCATCCTTATCAAAATATTCAACGGATAGCGTGATTCTTCTATAAGTGTAGCAGCCCATATATGGTGTTGATTGKGTTGCGCCCGCGACGTCTTGTGGGTTTGAYTGGTACCAGGTCTCGATCTCGCCAGAACTGCGGTTGACTGCGCAGCTTGGTAAAGACTGCTGGCTTGTCATCACCGGGGACGCTTGTGGAATAGGCCTGTAATATAAATACAGTAAATCGAAAATCGCTCAACTGGACTTTTTCACATAAATGCTAAATAGTAATGGGCAATTGCTAGTTGTGATTATATTAATATATATTTGCTAAATAATATGGAACTAAAAGAAGAATAAAACTAAAAACTAAATTTTTGTATTGTGGTCTTTTTAGTGGATTTATCAATATTGTAAATTAACATCATTTTTATCTTTATTATCTTTTGAGTGTATATATAGGATTTTTGAGAAATAAAGATTATTATTATTTATTTTTAGTGGATTTGTAAAGATTACATGCGGTGTAAATTTTGAAAATACATTTGGTGGACTGCTGCTAGTTGCGGATCCAGGAAGGATCGACCTTTAAAACGATGGATGGAAACGGATTGCGAATGGATATTGCGAAGTCACCTCATTTTCCATATATGAAAAATCTACAACACGACCGCATGGAATGCTGGTGGACCATGTCCCTTTAAATGGCCGGAAAGATTCATGAATGGGTAAAAGTGATTCCACTATTTACATGAAATTTGATTACCTTGCATAAGGTCCATTGTTTTCACAACTGTCACACTCGAGCTCTTGCTGCAGGAATAAATATTAAACAATCATTACAAATATTCCTTTACTTCGCTAGACCTTTTACTCGAATGACCTTTTCTAAAAATACAGCCGCCATTTTGAATTGGGAAGAAATTATGGGATGGCCAAATGTCAAATAAAAATTGCATTTTTTTTAAATTAGCGATTATATAATACTCACGTTGTCATTAAATCCTTCGCCGAAAAGATCGGGAAACTCAGGATCATCTGGCAAAGATGAACTGAAAAAGAGTTCAAATTTATTGTTTACTAAAATAGCTTTTCTAAAATATACAGATAATATTCAGTGTTGAGAAAATTCACAAAATTTTGGTAAAAACAAAATCTCATAAGGAGATTGAAAAGTATGAGCACTATTCTATGCTCGTATTAAACATTCAGAGATAATTAGCATTTTTCGATACCATATTTGGAATTATTCAGAAACATTCAGCGGAACTAATAAGAATATCTTAGATCTATATTTGGTAAAAAAATGGCTCAAAATAGTATAAATTAATGAACAATATAAATTTAAAATGGTCAGGCTAATCTTTAATTTTTAAACGTATGATATGAGTATTTTTATTTTGAAGAATTTAGAGAAAGAGTAAAGACGCATGATTTTCTCGAGAAAATCTGTTTAGCGATTCACATGAAGTACTTACAATCTTGACTTCATATTTGCAAAGAATTCCAAGGCATATGCAATTTTTCGCAGAATAAGATAATTTACATATCCACAGACCTACAGAGAGATAAAAACCATATATAAATCCATTAATTTGGTACGTTTGGGCTCACTTTTTTAGCACATATTCTGCCATTTGCCTTGGAGGAAGGGTTATTAATATACATACCTTTAAATTGTATACTGTGTTATCTTCTACCGAGGGTCTCACTGGTTGACTGGGGCTGACTTCYGTTGACGGAAATGACGTCACGGGTGTGGAACTTGAAACACCATCTACGAAATATAAACTCCTTAGAAAGCTCGAAATGATGGTAGAAATGGTCGCAAAGCACTACTGGGARCTTCCATGATCTCAGAACCSTACAACAATRCTGTTGTAGTGTCTCTAGACTTCAAGTGCGACCGCAATGCATTTCTRGGWAATAGTAACATACCTGCAGCTATTTTCCBCTTTTTCCTGCTTGGTTTACTGACTGCCTCGTTATCTTGTTTGGAGTCACGTCCTGGGCATGCGCACACTCTAACCTCAATTGCGCATCTTCCAAGTAGTTCCTGAGACTCTCTACATTAAATAGAAATTTACAATTCTATTATAGTTATTATCAAAGTTTTGCACGAATTGATGCATCATTTGTACATGTTATATAGACTCATTGCTGTTCATATGGGAATGCAGCTCCAGGTGAAGCTGTTTAAACGTTCACATTAAGGAATCTATTCACTTAAAAATGGTGTTTATAACGTTTTATGTGCATTTAGGACCAAATAAATCCAAATTAAACACAATTTCAAAAGCTCTAGCCAGCTCAGACACAACAGTTTGCACTAATTACTATAGAAATATGGGTTGCTTCTGTAGGTACCGGAGTACAGATGACGTAATTCAATAGAAACAGAAGCTGAAACAAAGAAACAGATTCTAAACAATACCCCGAAATACAATGAAACCTAACCAGAATACAATAGATTACTGTACACACAGAAAGACCCGAAATATGTTGACTTTATAGCGTCATACCCAGTCTCCAGTGTAAACACGACCAATATGGCACGTCGGTTCAGTCCCCCACATGAATTGTTGCAAATGAATGAGAATAGCTCGTGTACTGTGACTTCTTCGTGAATCGAGGCTCCAACTGATAAAAAAAAATAAGAAAATTGTTAGAACATTTTAATTTTATAAAGCGAATAAAAAAATCCAACCATGGTGCAATGCGCTCGTGGCTTGATATGTTCATATATGGAAACTGTATTGCACGAATTATATGAGATATGAGAGGGAGACCTTTAAGGCATTAAAAGTGCACATGACACCATTAGAATTTCATTCTCATCTAAAAAGAGAAAATGCTGCTAAGTACAAGAAAGAATTTAATTTTAAATTGTATTTTCTAAGTTATTGGCAGTTGAAACTTAGAAAATTCAAATGCAGCAAAATATAATTCTTACTTCACAGAAGTGCATGGCAACGTGTTATCTTTAGTATAAAAGTGATTTTCTAAAAGGTGTCATGTGCACTTTAAAACTGCGAGCTGCAAGCCAGCATATCACATGTGTCAAATTGCATTATGGCGTATGTGACACCCGGAGATTTGGACTTTGAAACTAAGCTGCCCTAATGGTATTGAATTAAGTAAGCGCTTATTACCATTTGTCTTAAAAGGTATTTTGACCGACATGCGTCCTGAGTGACTGCATTGTTGGTATTCTGCCTGTGGGTTATCTGAGCGAATGAAGTGTCCAGATGCAGGATTTTCTAGAAAAGAAAAAGTCTTATATAAGTCTTAGAAAGTCATGGTAATCATTAATCAAACAATCAGTCAGTCATTCATTGCTCCTAGTCTGACCT